GGAACCAGTCCTAGCGGATACCATAACGGCGACTTAAGAACCATGGCTGTACTGATAATCTGATATCCGCGACGAGTTACTATCTTTTCCTTTTCTTTTTCCTGGTGACATTCCGCTATCGTGCTTAACTTCTTGATCGATAAAATTGGCACGAAACATCTTTCGTTTTTCTTCCATTTTCTGAATGTGTGTTTAGCTGTGCTCCTCTTTTATTTCGTTGATGCTGCATTCGTGCTTCTCAATAAAAGAAGAAATTGTGATTTCGATGAACTGCCTGATTGCCTTTTTAGCGTTGCGTTCAATTTCGTCAATGTTTTCCCCGTCCGGATAACGACCTTGCCAATCGAACATTCGGTGTCTGTTGTCACTATCATGAAGGTATCGGTGTACCTCCTGTGCAATCAACACCTGACCTGTTTTGATCTCTACCATGATTTCCTTGTCTGCCTAAAAAGAGAAATGGCTCGGTGTTAACGATTATATGCATATATTATATCTTTCACATTTCTTACTGTAAATTTTCTATTTCGTGTTAAGATAAAAAAGAAGAAAATTGAGTAAGTTGGAAATTGTCGACCGTCAGTGATAAGGGATGAGAACATGTCGTACCTTAAAGTGAGATAATATTTATTTAACAAGGTTTATATTTATGTCAAAAGCCAGAGATAGAAAAAACCTGTTGTTCAACGCGAGTATTTTTGATTTGTATTACAATTTTTTTATATCAACATTATATCAACTCTAAAGCAAAGTGTATTTAGTGTAAAGCTATTGGAACACATTTAATTTGTATTTCTCTTTTATATTGCTTTTGTACGCAATTGAAAAAGTCATAAAAACTAAATTGAGGCCAAGGACAAGTGATCATCAGTGACAGACCACTTTTTCAATATCTGAAAGGCAATAGTTTTACATTAGTATATTGTCGATGTGTAAATGATAGTGGTAAATATAACAGGTTTTTTTTATCATCAGTCTAATTTGCTTTATCACTCGTTTGCGCGTTTGTTGACATATCATTGTCAGAATTAAAAATCAATTTCTTTTCTTGTTTATGAGAGATTTATCATATAAGCGACCTTTCGTTTGATGTTTAGGTAACATCGTAAGTTAGACTAACATCGCGATGTTTGAGCATAGTGTTTGTAAAGGCAATTCCGGGAGGTAGGGGAGGAATTTTATCGAAATGCTGTCAAGGTCAAACAAAACAATAATATGTGTTTTTTCTTGTATAATGCTAGAAAATATAGGGTAGGTAAGTAGGGGAAAATAACTCATTCTCAAAAGTGATTTTATTCAGGAGATTGGTTTTGACATGAACAGTGGGTTTTTTTAAATGCCGAAAAATATTTAGGGGTAAAAAAATAGTATATGCAGGTAGGGTTACCGGAAGCACGAACTTTGTTTTCTTTAGGCCTTAAAGTAAAAGGCAAGTCTTAGCGCATCCTGATGGCAGGGGTAATTCTTTTTGCAAAGAAAGTATTCAGCATTTACAAATACACACTTCTGTAAGGAATTTGAACAGAAACAAATATAGTTTAGACGTTAGGACATTAAAACATGGATTCCAGTAGGACTGTTAGTCCTCTCAGTCACTACACTATATGACGAAGTAGCATTATTAAGATACATAGACAAAAAGGAGGCGTTTCTTGCCAAATGGACAAATGCTGTTTTGGAAGAAGAAATCTCCATGAGTTTCGTCGAGGTGGAAGTTTACAAGCAAATTTCGGGAGAAATATTGAAGGACTTGCTGACTATTCACCATTGCATCTGTAGCTACAGGGTAAGAATGGAAAATCTGGATAACGCGGCGACGTACGCAATCACTAAAGCCGCGTTTGGAAAGATGAAACGCCTTGTCAACGATCTGAACAGAAGACTAGAAAACATGAGAAGTGAGAAGTGTTAGTTGTTCATCATTAACAGAACACTAGAAAAGATCATGGGACGTGTTTGTTGTTCATCATTAACAGAACACTAGAAAACAGGCGAAAAGTGAATTTTTGACCATTAACAGAAAAGAAGAAAACAAAATAATGTAAAAGATCAGTATAGGGCATATCACAGAAACCCAAGCGTAGGTTTACATAACCAAAACATATTTATTTGTAATAAAAAAACTCTTTTTATTTGATACAGAAATCGATTTATAATTAACCATCGAAAAATACTTTAGACAAACCTATTCTTTATATGCATTTCACTAATCATTAAATCCCTGGAACCATTACAGGAGCAAAAATGATGAACAACGTGACCTAAAACGGTGCTTAAATGTTCGGGACACATTATTGTTTCAATTTGTCGATTTGATCAGTAGATGCAACTAATGAATTTCAGCAAGGAAACAAGTTCTGGGAACTGAGTACAGTGTCTTGTGTGATCACTCTGTGAAATAGGGAACCTTGTATTGCATAGCATGATAACTGGTTGTATCCTATATCGGAGCTTTACTTTCTATACAAACAAGGTACGTATTAAATACACGTTTCAAGACCGATTGGTTTGTCAAATTATGACTTAGTCGGTCTTGAAACGTTGCGACATGTTTAATACGTTCATTGTTTGTATAGAAAGCAAAACTTTGAAATTACATAAAACCAAACTGATGAATGTTATTGGAGATATGGTTGTATCATAGTAAGATTCACCAGGTATATAATCATGATCATCATGCAATTAACCAGCATGGATTTAGCTAAAGTTCCTATTATCTTTGTCAGTAATGTACCGGTGACGTCACTATGTGGTAAGTCGTGAATTGTTTGGGTATGTATCATATGTTAAAGGTTAATACAAATCCTAACGAATATTGGATTTTGGTTTCGGGAAAATAATTTCATCAGAAGATCAATGATGTTAAGCTTTGTACAAAACTATCATTTTGAGGAAATTGTTACCCTTTTCTTAGATCGATACCTACAAGACAGTGATCAAAGTTTGTGATAAATTATGTGAAGACTTGCCAAAACCGATATTTACAGAACACGTACTATTGGGAGGATCTATGACAACTATTTTTCCATTATCGCGCTGTTGTCTGTTACAGTGATCGACAGGCTTTTTCAAATGGACATTAGAACTTCCTCAGACTGCCCGAACTATCAGGACAGGTTATTGTAAATAAACTCAGCAGGTTGTGAAAGACAACATTATGGAGTGACACCGAGCGATAGATGGACGTTGAAACTCCTCATTACCTCTTACGAATGTGTGAACAAGATTCTGGTACAAGTAGTTCACAGAACCGTCATCGTCGCTCCGCTCCACCCTCCGCTCCACCCTCCGCTTCCTCGGCATCGCCTGCCACCAGGCAACTTCAGTCCTTTCGCCAACTGTCAAAGACTTTGATTAAGTCTGTCTCTTCATCCTCATCCTTCACTTTATCTGCATCTACTGTTTGACGACCCATACAGTTACATTTTCGTAAATTGTACTGCATGAGTAACAGTAACAGATTGCAAATAATGAATAATTTCATAAACTGTGTAAAAATATGTATTATGTTTATGTACTATATGAATTCCTTTAATCACAGAAATCATATTAATTCTTTCTATGTGTTCTTGTTTTGTTTATACGAACAGGTTTCTTTAAATTCTTATATATCAATGTTACCTATTACCTTAGTTAATAAACCTTTTTTTTAAATTTTCTTTGACATGACAATGATATAAATGAGTACATCCTGAAAAAATGTAAATCCCTTTGTTGTTGCTGGTTTCACTCTACTGATCTTGACGGCAAGTTTGGTGAATAAAAATAAGTGATTTACAGCTGGTACCGTCTGGGCCGGGAGTAACTTGCCTAGAAACAGCCTGTTTCTGTCACAAAACTTTAGCAGTCAAATACATGTATATGACATTTATTTATTTTACAGTAATTAACCGTTCAAACCCTTCACATAGGTCCCTCCTTGATTTTACCCATGATGCTATATTTATGAGAATTAGTTATAGTCCGAGCCAGCTACGGTTAATTGTGTATATTTATGGATTTGTGTTTTCGAGTGTTCTGTACAAACGTTAGCACGTGATATTTGTAAAGAAAAGTTCATTCTTCATGTCTTCAGCATTGTTACTCATAGCTGATAACTGTGTTATGACGGAATGCATGGGGTTTCATTGCTTCACGTGGGGTCGCACTGTGTCCAGCTATGTAGTGTCGGCTATCTATATCGTATGCACATTATCCACCACACTCAAGGGGTTACGCTCACTTTCGCTCTCTGCACCACTGGAATATGTCATAGTAAAATCTAAGGCTACGTGTGNCCCCCCCCCGGTGACGCTTGTGGTTGTGGTAATCCTTGTGAGATTGTCTTTCACTGCTTTTAAAAGTGTCAGCATTTTACACACGAAAGGAATATTCTGATGTGGAATTCTTATGCCTTGAATATTGACTTGGAAATTGTTTCGTTTGGAAAATCACGACTCGCCGCATACCTTAATACTAACATCTTCAGACAAGTCCACACTTTCTTGAAATCCAGCAATTGATGTTAATTTCTAATTGAAAACTACTCCTTAACTATACGGTGAAGGTGTTGACATGTTGTAAATACTTGTACCGAAACCCATGTGAGAGATTGACAATAAATTGTTTGAAATAAACTGAAACAATCTTCACGGTTTTTCTTTACGCTTTGTATTGAGAGAAAAACTTCATTTCAATGTATGAGGTGAAACTAAGTCTTTCGTTATCCTTTGGTCTATGGCGTTTTCTCGTGGCACGGATTCAACTGTATCTCCCACTGAATAGAATTCACATTTTGTTCTCTACCTTTTCAGATGTTGATCAAACAAACACACATTTGAAGCGAAAAAGTTCACAACATTAATGCAAGTACTGGCATACATAAAACTTTGTTCGGGGATTATCTTACTGTGACGTAACAATCGCTTCAAACTCAATCTTATGTCCGCAGTTTTACCATATTCCTAACGGTGTGCATGATCCGCAGTAGTGCATATTTGAAAATATGTTTGAACGGAACTGTGTTACAAAGCATCATACATGTAGATGTTAAAACGATATAGTTCAATCCCTATATTTACATTTAAAACAACAAACTTGTTTGTGTTCTTTTTGGTCTCATCCCATTAAAAACAGCTGTTAAACAAACAGTTTTTCAAATTTGAATTTTGTGTTTTCTATGGCTACCAGGTCCATGAGGTGGCGAACGTCAATCGTTACAATTTGACGTCACGTCATGATTGGTCCCAATTAACAGATTGACGGAAAGACCCGGACAGTTTTAAATTGGAAAACATTCATCTGTTATGGTGCTGACTATTATAGGATATATTTATAAAATAGTCTAAGGAATATACAAAAGAAATGTAAATACTTAAACATTAAACCCCGTTTTCAGTGTGCTTCATTTTGAATTTGCCTTTGTCCAGTTGTCATTTATATTGCCGATAGATGCCAAACTGAAGCTAGTTCTTATCTTATATTTCTCAGTCTTTGATTCTGTTTATGACATACAAATAAGTACTATCAATATTGAAATGTTTAACACTTAGTTAAAACAAATTCCCTCGTCTCATTTGCGTCTTCGATTAATAGAACAATCTGCTGTCCAGGGAAGGTCAGTGGTATCCAACATGACAATTACTACATTATAATAACGATGACGCATAGCTAAATTAATGCCAACTGAATGTTACAGGGTTATTGAGTGGAAATGCCATACAATGGTAAATATTTACTACTTAGTCAGATATTGTGTATGTAACTCTCTGCCGCACATCATGGTTATAAGGAGCTGTTTCATACTCATGGATGTTATAGGGTTATAGAGTGGAAATGCCATAAATGGTAAATATTTACTACTTAATCAGATATTGTGTATGTAACTCTGCCGCGCGTCTTGGTTATAAGGAGCTGTTTCATACTCATGGATGTTACAGGGTTATAGTGTGGAAATGCCATACAATGGTAAATATTTACTACTTAGTCAGATATTGTGTATGTAACTCTCTGCCGCACATCATGGTTATTGGGAGCTGTTTCATACTCATAAATGTTACAGGGTTATAGTGTGGAAATGCCGTACAATGGTAAATATTTACTACTCAATCAGATATTGTGTATGTAACTCTCTGCCGCAAATCATGGTTATATCGGGAGCTGTTTCATACTCATGAATGTTAAATGATGCACTGCAATACTTTATTGAACTCCATAAGAATGTGAGCGAAAGTTCGAAACAAAGAATCCAAGACAACACATGGCGTTGTCGCTCATGCTACCGACATTGAGAATAGAGCGACTGAATTACAATTAATTAAGGATTGAGTCTTGTTTTCGTCAAATTCATGAGGTGATGAATTGAGTTGGTCTTGAAATTTTTTTTTATGAACTGCGAAGCAGTTCTTGTTGATTTTTTTTCAAGACCAACTCAATTCATCACCTCATGAAATCGACAAAAGCAAGATTCAATCCTTGTTTTTAAATCAACATGTGATTATTTTAGTAATTGGAACTTGCGTAATTGTGGAACTTTTAAGAGTCTACGTAGTAACGTAATGTAACAAGAAATAGTCCGTCATTGAAAGACCATTAAAAACGTGTTGTACGCTGCTAGTTCAATACAGCCAAATTATGAAAAAAACATATTTTAAATGTCATTTATTTTTTGTTAACGAATGCAAAAAAAAAACCATTTAGATGTTAAATTTTCAGACGCGTCATCTCGGAAGAATAATGTCTAGAAGCGGTAGGCAGGCTCAGCGTCTACGGCAGCCATCCTATTACAAACTCGAAATGGAGAGCTGCTTAATTTAGAGGTTCTACATATTCTGGAATGTGATGCTGCAGTTAATGAATATCGAATCGGACAGGACACCAGACGTGACTGGAAAGGACGAAACAATTTGATAGGGCAATTGTCTGTTCGATTAC